TTACAGCTGTCATGAGCATGCAGAGTCATCAAAGATGTCAATCAATCAATCAATTCTTATTTTATTCATTTATTTGTTTGTCAATCAATTAATTTCCCTGTCCTTGACATGCAAACATTTTCTGGCCAATCCTCTGCAATGACAATTTCATTTACAAAGTTGTCCTTTCAGGCGCTTCTGCTCGTCAACATAGTGGGAGAGCAACTGTGTCAAAGTCCAGTTAGCAATGTTAACACCAGCACTAGTTTGGTTACTTCTGCCAATGCAACACAAACAGATTTGTCACGCAATGTAGAGATCAGTAAAGATGAGTAATGCTCCTTCTATGATCACAATTTAAATGCATGTTCCTCTGTCTTTCACTTCCTGTTCTACTGATGTCTTAATGTTTTCCATCACCTGGGAGGATTTTTGTTATAAGCGTGTAATAACAAAGTTCTGAGTCTCTCATTTCTGGTCTCACAGAAATGTTAAGATTGAGTTAAGTGTTGCTCTGCATTAGCCATACCGTGTGTGTTGTTTGGCACTCTGACAGCGGGAGCCAATTACTGAATGAAGTGCAGTGGGCTTTGATTGGAGAGTTGTAGGATCAGAAGTTGCAAAGTGAGAAATGTACTCAGAAATCACAGCTTGTCAGACGCTCAATTTCAAACCAGTTGCTGGTGAAGAAATACCAGACTAAAAGATGTGTTCCATCATTTAACATTTTAAATGATTTAGCCTTCATACACAGAACAATACTGCAATATATATCTGAAATTTACTCATGAGGTGCTGTGTTTTACAAACAGTATTTATTTTGACAATATTGTGCCGATAATGACTGAACTTCTTCAAACATAGTGTAAAATCAATATTAGTTTCTTTCATGTAAAGCCTACTGCGACAAGTGGTCTTACTTCAGGTAAGACAAAAGAACTCAAAGATTAGTACATCTACAGCTTTCTCCATATATCTGCACTTGGAAGTTAGAAGTTAAGAATAAAATGTAAATGCATTATGTATCTGTTTTTACATAATGTGTTTTGAGAACACATACTTCATGCAAACCCTGCAGTCAAAAAAGTCTGGACACGCCCCCCTGCCTGTGTCATGATCACTCTACAAACTGCAGTTCCTCAAGTGTCCACTTGAGGCTGGCTGCAAAAGTTCAGGACTCCCCATTGGTACTATATTAAAATGGCCTTTACAGCAAATTTAAACATGATTACAACCTGGTGCAAAAGCTGTTTTTTTATCAGTACAAAATCTAAAGGGGATGATTTTTTCTTTTTACAAGTCATCCTTTTTGATGGCATTTAAGCGTGGCAGAGTTGGGGGTACAACTACAACGTGGGAGTGTTGTAGAGGTTTGCCAGAAGGCTTAAAACCATACTAAACATCTTTGCCTATTTCTAGATTGAATGAGAGCTATAGGTTGAAAAAGTATTTCCACATGGGCATACCATCGTTGGTCTTCAGAACGCTTCTTCAAAAACCAGTTGGTAACATTTCTGAGACTACGTCCGTATTTTATATATTCTGTGGTTTCCATATGTAGTTGCTCTAAATCCCCCATCTGACTTTAACCCACATTAAATCTTTCCTCTATTATCGTTGCCTAACCTTTTCCTACTGGCCTTGGTTTCTTTTGTCTCCGACACTTGTTGACTTCCCCTCAGCACACCTCCTCAGGGAAAACTCACTTCCACCTTAAGTGCCATTCCATTACTCTGAAAACTCAGTGGGAACGCTCGCATTATTCAGCCTTCAAGGGCTGAGAGAGTGAGTCAACAACTTTGCATTTGCCTTGCATTGTTTTTTATTTTTCATGTTTTTGTCTGCACCACATTTGAAATAGAATGTTCTAACGTCACAAAGCTTATTCAGAGAATATATTTAACAATTTAGTCGACGTATCGTTTTCCATCTCTTTTTAGATCTAAAACTAGTTAACCTGCTTAATAGTTGACGCATATTTGTAATTGCACATGTTAAAGAAATACATTGGTAGATTTCTTGTTTTTTGGTTGGCATGGTTGGTGTAAAAGGTAAATAGACTTGAGCTTGTAAAGCCCTTTTCTAGTCTTCTGCCCGACAACTTGTGGTCAAACAAGTGTGAGAAGGAGTTAAACGACAGTCAAACATAAGTTCTCTTGTTATGCTTCAGAGACTCCAATGTGCGGCTCAGAGAGGACAAATCCAATCTAAACACTATCCGGCTTGTCTGTTTGCGGAAATGTTAATTCACTTACACTGAACTCTTAAAAACAACATATTATCTTCAATGTGCCAAAGGGGAGCATCAGAGTACATGTCCTCTACAACCATCAGCCACCTTTTGCAAGCAGCTGGAACATCCACAACTAAAATAGAGACAACAAGACCTGTTATAAGGTCAAATATAAGACAGCTTGCTGATGTAGAATAACGACTCTTAATGACCCCTGCTTGTGTACTGTATTGGTATGTGCTGCTTTGAATATATAGATGTAAATGGAAGAATGCAGTAAAATTAGGCAAATGATAGAACAAATACAGCAACAACAATACCCTTTCACCTGAACAGAGGAACTAATCATGCAAATGCTTTGGTTATGTGTTTGATAAAAGCAGCAACATGAATGACGTCTGAATATAAATTCATAGACGTAAAAAAGGGAAACTGACTTTACTGTGACCTCTTAAAACGGCCAGCAAGCAAATATAGAAACAGTACTGACTGAAAGCAGGATGAGGATGAATTTGCATGTCATCTCCTGATACACAGGACTATTCATAGATGCTTTCAGTATGCTTCTGTCCAGGTGCCATCATTTGAATATCAGACAAATTCATCTTGACTAACGCCACTATTCAGTGAAGTGTGAACTCGGCCCCTACATGGTGTGGAAAGCTGATCCGCTTTTTCTGTGGGACAAATATGAAATTATAAACCTAGTTGGAATATTTGGCAATTCAAGATAGATTAAGATAGAGACATGTATAGGTTGGCACTGTCACAAAATGGTTGAAAAACCTAAGGAGGTGGACTCAATTGCAGAATCAAACTTAAATATTTATTTTAAACAAAAGTCAAAAGTCAAAAACAAGACTTACTACTCAACAAAAACCACAAGGTAACATAGGGAGCCATAAGGAATCACAGGAGCACAAGCAAAAGCAAAACTTACATCTGACCAAGGACCAACTTAAAACATAACCCCCAACCCCCCCTCAAGGGACGGATTCTAGACGTCCCAGAAAGTCTGGGAAACACAAGACAACACTGATGACAACTATGGAATAAATCAGGAAACACTGAAGACAGAGAACTGGAGAATGTAACAACACACACTAAAACATAACGAAACACTAGGATACAAAGTTACAAAATAACACACGAAACACTAGGATACAAAGTTACAAAATAACACACGAAACACTAAAGACTAAACTAGAAAACACACAAGGGAAACGCCAGGGAAGAATGAAAACTAAAACAAGATAAAGACATCCAAACTCTGAAAAACTAAACTTAACAGACCAAATCATGACAGGCACATGTTTAACCATAGCTGCTGTAACTTTCACACTTATTCTTCTCTTCATTCTGGGGCTGTTTGAAAAGTTGCTGCAAGTGCTCCAAGCACTGCTCTTCTGTGCAAGTATGTTCATGCTCAGCAAAAGGGAGCCCATATGACAGATCATCTTTTGCCAAGTCTAGTTAGTGGGTCTATCCCAGCTCTCTACTAACTGCTTAGATTGATTTAAGTTTGAAACAACGCATGTCCCGAAAACAAATCCTCCACACTTTGATCAGAATTGATATCCCCGCACCCGAGGCCGCGTGGCCCCTCGGTGCTGGCGGCGGACATGTCAGAAAAACACGTTTGTCCAGAGTTTCTTTAATGCTTTCAGAATATATCTTTGTATTTAGTCACAGCGCACCAGCTGATTTTTAGTACAGCTAAAGAATCGACAGGTGTGTCATGTTATCACTTTTTATCACAAATTTTGAAAATTTCTGCCCCTGGTTCCACCGTGGAACTACAGGGGGGGGATCGGCGGCGCCCACGCGCGACGGCCGACAAAAACTACTCCCCTTCACATTGCAAAATCAAACAAATGAACTAGTGCATGTAAAGGACAGAAGAGACGGCAAAGTGTCATAAAGAGAAGGTTGTGAGAGTGAGAGCTACTAACAAAAACAAAGCAAAGAAATGTAAAAAAAGATGCCCAACCCTCGAGGACAGTGCTGGATCCTTCATGCTGCAAGTGTCTCTCTACTTTGTCCTTACAAAAAAAAGTTCATATTCAAAGGTCGGCAAATACCAACATTTTGTCACGTAACTTTGGCATCCCATATGGATGAAAAAGTGACATTGGTGTGTGTTACAGAAAGATGGAGAGAAAAAAGAGAAAGTAACATCATATGTGTTCTACGTTTTCTTCATGTCCCTACCTGTGTGCTGTTGGCTTTGAGCTCCACATAACTGCCTAATGATTGACACCCAGAAGAGTACCAAACACAGCTAAATATAGAATAAAATGAATACAAGAGAGGAAACAGGCAGATCTCTGCACATTTGGACACAATGTAGTTCATCTACTGGATTATAAATGGGCATCAAGATGATATATGTTATAATTGAGGGCAAATTCCTTTTTATTAAGCCTGCAAGACTATTAACAGGCTGTCCAATGTTATGGTTTGTTTTACTTTTCCGGTAGATTTGTAATTTAAAACAAATTGTTGGTGTGGTGTCAAGAGAGTTATATATCATACCAGTAACGTATTGAAGTCAAATAACCCAATATCATGACAAAAACCTCGATACAAAAGCAGAAATGGAAAACATTTGTCTCTGTTGGTTTTCAACTTGAACAGTGTGACTGTCATCGCGTCACACTTGACAACCTCTAGTTCATCATTAATCCATTGCCACCTCTGTTTTGACTATGCACACATTTACCTGGCACCATATGAATGCTTACATCATCCGTTCACCAGAAATAAAACCTGGCAGACGCAGAACTAAATTCGCCAAACAGACAGCACCCCGTCCCAGACCTCAGCAGGTAAGAGAACTTTACCAACAGCAGGCAACCAGTCAGCACACTTTGATTGGATGAATTTGACCGTTTTTCCAGTCCAAGTTATCTTTATTTATTTTTTTAATTACTCTGAATTGTTTTACACCTGTTTAGGATTTCTTACTTTGTTCAATAAATGTTCATTAGTTTTTACTTTGTGAATAATATGATTATCTCTGTAAAGTTCAGTTAGTTTCAACAATATGAACACCACAACTGTGAAGACGGCCCTCATGATGCTCGTGCTGTGTTCAGGTGAGGCTCATTTTCTTGCCGTTGATCTCAGTCTGATCATTTCACTATTTTTCTTAAATCTTTTTTTTTTTTTTTTGCACAAATGTAAAAGTATTCCAGGGTAACAAGCCCTTGTCTTTGGCTATGATCTGCCCCTATTTTTCTTTGATAATGATCAATGACTGTGCACAAATGACTCTGAAAATCATGAGAGCGCTAGGAATATTTCAACCAGTTTATGGATTTGTATTCAAACTGGCTTTTTTAATGACTATAGTTCATAATGTTTCCTGTTGTTTCTATGAACTGCAATGCAAAGATAATAATTAAATATTATCGTTTCTGTGTTCATGAAGGATTTCTTCACTTTACATTTGCATCTCAACGTCTACGATCCTTTCGCATTTTTGAAAATGAAGAAATTTGGAGTAATTCATTCACCACATGTAAAAGCATAAATGCATCACTGGTTACTCTGTATGATGAAGAGGACGCCAGATTCACAGCAAATTTCACAGAACAAGCCAAAGACGCAGAGGGACGGCCCAACGTCTGGCTCGGTCTGCATAATCGAAGTTTCAGTCAGTCAAATGGAGGCTCTGCCAGTTTGAAGCAAAGATGTGGAGCCATTCATAACAACAACCTGGAATGTTTTGATTGCAGAACAAATATATCCTTGAGCTCGTCCATCCAGAGTAAGTTAAAGCATGTTTGATGTCCTTTTTCATATGTTCAATGTGTTTGCGAAAAATAAGATTCACTGAAGAAGAAGAAAGAAAAAAAGATATGAATGGTACAATGACAACATGTCTTATAATAATAATAATAATAAGAAGAAGAAGAAGAAGAAGAAGTTATACTTTATTAATCCTGTGAGGGGAAATTCTGTTTTACACTCTGCTTATTGAACATGAACATTTACTCTTTATTGACGATGGTTATTATAAAGTGTAACCATATTTTCTTTATAAGCATAGGGGAACAATGTCATCCTGTGATGTATTACAGGACCTGATGAAGCGCCCGCTCAGACATGAAACGTTGTGTTCTTCAATGCGTATAGCTAATCCATAAGTATATCTTTGGGCGCCACAGTGTTTTCAGTGTCTTTGTGCATCATATCCTGTATAAACCAACACAAAGGATTCCAGAGTGCTACATGTTAAACCTTGTTTGTGAAAATATTCAACAAATCAAAATGTGATGTATTTATGTTTTGCAGGTATTAATGACGCTCTTGCTCCTTTAAATAAGACCTGGTGTCAGGCTCTTAAATACTGCAGTCAAAACCACACTGACTTCAACAGCAGCGGGGCTGTTGACACCAGCTTTTGGATCGCACTCGATACATGGGAATGGCAGGACAACGGCTGCTCTTCATTCAGAAAATGGGTGAAGACTGGAGATAACGCTGGAGAATGCACACTTGTGGACATTAATGACACTGTAGGAATATATAAATATGGTTGTTATAGTACAGCAAAGCCTTTCTGTGCCAGCGGTAAGTAACTTCACAGTGCATATTAACTTAAAATCATAGTTGTTTTCTATTATACAATGACTTATTTGTACACATTTAAACTGTCATTACTTACTAACTTACATGTTAAGTACAGTATGGTCCACAGACTCATGATAGTAGTAGATACTCATTGGTTTATTTCCAGGTACTGTGAGGATCAAAGTCATTCAAAATCCTTTAACTTGGGTGGAGGCATATGATTACTGTAAGGAAAATCACTACCGCCTGCTGTGGATCAGAGATGAATACGACCAGTGGGCTGTTGAACAATGGCTTAATTACACCGCTGAAGAGGGTGACTTCTGGATTGGTCTGCGACAAAGTCGGGTCTTTGGATTCTGGATTTGGACCAGTGATACGACAGTGGGGTTCTCCAAATGGAAGGATGGCAAAACACCTCAGCAGTCCATGTTTGACCACTGTGGGGCCTTTAACAACAAGGACTGGGACTGGAATCATTTCAACTGTTCAAAAACGCTTCCTTTTCTTTGTGAGGAGAACATTGAATACATCAAGTAATAGTTATCAAGCTTTGCTCATGAGAACAGATTCTAATGTAGAGGTAATCAAGAGCTGATTATTGTGGTGAAAGACAGCGACATTACCCTCTGCTTAAATTTAGCATGGGTTCTTCATGGCTTCAGGTTTTCCCTTGATCGCTAAAACGTTATTCTGACGTTTGAAAGGTTTTATACTTGACATTTCACATGCAAGTGTTTATAAAAAGCATTGTTCTTTCTATTGTTGTTGCTGATACATTAATTTGTGTAACAGTTGTTAATATTGTTATCGGTGTTTTTGTTGTTAGGATCACTTATTCTAAAGAAAAGGACTTATATGTATGCATTTGATTCGATAGTGATGTAATCTCATGGAAAAAGTGAGAACACATATATATCTGGATTTTCTTTTTTTTTTCTACATTAAGGTTTGTAATGTGTGACCACTTCCCCTGTTGATATTTGTGAAGTTACTCACTCTGTCCCACTGTGTCATCTCAACCAATCCAGTCAATATTTTCGGATAATAAAACCCATCTGTTTATATGTTTGTATGTAATCCCACCACATTTCCTGATCCATTCAAAATTGAGAGACAATTTTTGTATTTTATATATATAGCTTCAAACTAAATCTAAATATTTTATGTTGGACTCTTTTGGTTGAAATTGCATTTTGATACACTTATGTGTATTAGAAGATGGGTGCTGTGTATTTGCTTCTAGATACTCTGCTTGTATGCCTTTATGCATATATTATTGAAATAAACTACTGGAAATTCACTTGTGCCTTAATTAATGTCATTATACAATATCAATACATTCTTAACAGTGACACATGACTGTCTTGGTTTTTATATTTTCTACAGGACTAAAGTGCAGCTGCTGCAGGTTTTCATGGATTCTAATTTATAATACTATTTCTTCACAGGGCTTTTTACACCTTTATTTTCGAGATAGGACAGTGGATAGAGTCATAATCTGGAGAGAGAGCGGGGGGGTGGGGGGGGCATGCTACAGGTCTGATATGATCCCAGGCAGCCTGCTCTGAAGGACTTTAGCGTCTGTAAATGGGGGCATGCTGTGCGTTAACCACTAGGCTAATGACCCCCCATAAATGAGTCTCATTTCTTATGATTTCACATCTGTGAATATTTGAACTACTCATCCATTTTTATAAATCCTTCTTGTCTGTGTGAATGTTCTATTTTGGCTTTTCTTATAATCTTATTTTCTGTCAGCATTGTGCAAAAACTGATATTGTTACTGTTAAGAAGAGAAATTGGTTGCAAAGCTAATTGTCTTTGATAGATTTGAACAAAACAATTGAAATTCAACTTTTTGTTACTTTGGGAGGGACAGAAGATTTTTTTTAGGGAGGGGGGGAACTGAACTTCAGTGACATATCCACAACAAAAGTCAATGTGATAATAACATTTCAATCATACTAACACAATAAATATACCAAGAGAACAAAGCATAAATCTTGGAGACAATGTTATGGGAAAGGGGGTCAGTTGTGTTGGGTCAGCAGTGAAGATATTCAAGTAACTTCAACTCAGCATTTCAGTATCAGTTGGAAGAGGAAGCTTGAGTTAGCCCAAAGCAAAAGAGAAGCAGAACAAAGCTGGCTAGGAAGACAACAGACATCTGACAGGAGCCAAATGTGGAAGTAATAACCAACATGATGATACAGATCTATAAACTCTAAAACAAGAAGCAAAGAGATTGGTAGATCAGAGGCCGAGATGTGAACATCTGGAGAGGTGCAGGGACACTAGGGAAAAAAAAAAAGGATGCTTGGACAATTTCCAAAGCCATTCTTCACACTGTGGACTAACTTGAAAAGAAAGCTCAATCCATCACACCCTCACTCATCATTCTAACTCATCACATGGCTAACCGTGCAAATGTGTGTGTATGAGAGTGTGTTTATGGGCCTCTTGATCATTGCTCACTCCAAGGGAACAGACTTTCACTTGACTTGTAGCCCAGCTCACTCCTCTGGCCATGATGTGATGTACGTTAACAAGTGTGTGATCATAGCTCATTGAGGGGAATCAGAGATTCTCAGGAAACACACTCCTCCACGGCGTAAATCAGCAGCCACTGAGCATCCTGACTTGCAGCTGAACATATTGGTGCAAAAGCAGCAAATTTTAGTTGGCAGAGACTTGGACTGGATAAGAGGCTGATCTATGGCCCCATTTGGGGGTTGAAAGATGGCTGAAACCTGGTGTCCATTCAACCGGAATTGAATTGTAACACAGACATACCTCCACCAGTTAGCAAAACGTGAGCAGATGTTCTCTTTACACCGAGCTGTCTTCGGTTCTTAAGAGTTTAAGTCCAGAATTGAAAAAGATACACTTCCAGTCTCTATTACATTACGTCTAACTCCACCGCAGCTACACCAAAATCTTACTACTTCATTTGGAATAACAAACATTGTTAAAAGCCATTTCTACATGGCACTGACTAACTAAGACTAAGTGACCACTGCTACCACCAAGACTCAACTCTGGATAATCATCAGAAGATGGATGAACATGTGAGTGCTTTTATTATTGGAATGCTTTTTTAAAAATCTTTCTAGGGCTGAAACGATGCATCAATTAAATCAATACTTAATACTTAAAAGTGTTTGCAACAAATGTAAATATTGTTTTGTTGTGTCTCATGATTATTGCATTACTCACTGTGATGCAGACACGAGTGTTGTATAGCATTTGGTCAGCTTATGCTGTGTTGACTTTTCATTTCATTTCATTTCATTTTCATTTCATTTATTTATTTAAAGGACAGTTCACATTAGTCAACATTTCTGTAAATGTGCCAGTGTTAGCCAGCAGGCTAATTTTCAACTGTAGTCCTTTGGAAAGAGGTAAAGCTAGGCACAGGGTGGCTAAAAAAAATAAAAACATGTTAAAGAATACACACAGCAATAGATAACAACAGTATAACATGATGCCAATATACTGGCTCCATTAAAACATATAACCATACAACCATTCGTACAAACCACCATGGGTTAGAGAGCACAGCTACAACAATACATAGCAACAGACAAACATGCACTCAGATTAAATACTATAAAAGGTGTTCACATTTTTGATTGCTTAAAAGCCAGTCCTTAAGACTTTTATTTGTAATAATGATGATCATTTAATAAATGAGTTTTTTTAAGACAGTGTTCATTTCGTTCACACAAATTATGACCATGTCAACAATAGTTTTTCAATTACAAAGATGAGATGTTGACACGTTAAATATCGATCTTTGACAGTAAAAACCATAATAGCTTTGTTGTTGTTAATGAGACCTTTGACCTTCTCTCAACCAGAAGGTCAAGGGTTCGATTCCCAGCTCCTGCAATCAATGTGTGAATGTGTAGGAGTGACACGCGGTGTAAAAGCTCTTTGAGTAATCAAAAGACTAGAAAAGCGCTGTACAAGCTCAAGTCCATTTACCATTTACAGGACTAAAATGTTAGTGGTGGTCTGTCTGACATTCAAAGTTTGTGATATTACCTGTGTCTAATTGATCTGTCAAAATACAAGCAGGAGGTGGAGAGAGGAGTGTGTGCAACCAATCAACTATTGTATGACAAAGATGTATCTTCGTATCGTTCTCTTCAAACAGACATTCTCTGTTTCAAATTTCTTACTTCTAAAGTTGCTAGTTGAACTCTAACCAACGAATGGCAAAAGGAGTAGAAAGTCTGTGTCTGGGGCTCCTTCTTATGCTAATGTTGATGGCAATACAGTTGGTTCTGAAATGGGGTACAAGACACACTGACACAAACTGTAAAGAATAGAATTTTGTATTTTTACTTTTTTTTCAAGATGCATTTTCCAGATTACATTAACTCATTGAGAAGTGTGTCCCATGTCATTGTGTTTGGCGGTTCAAAAAAGCATAATTTCAACTCCCTCATCCGTACGCATTAACACACAAAGCAGCGATGCTCTGTGTCAGGTCAATTTTTCATTTTGAGTAAGCCAGAATGTGTTACTATTGTACCTTCTTTTTGCTTCTTCACTGTAATAGCAGAATGATACAACACAGCCTCTTTGTGGGTCCCAGATCCTTTACACTCAGAATCAATAGCCAAATAGCAAACTGTTGGATTGCGACTCTTTGAAAGTGCTCTTTTGTCTGCCTTTGCTGGCATATTTCCTTTTTTATGTGACTTTGATTGCGTATGAAACCATACAAATGGCCCACAGTATTGTGCCTTGCAGACAAGAAGGAAGAACTGAACATATTCCGGTTTGTGAATACTTATTATACCAACAGCTAAGATAGAACAGGGACACACATTAACACACAGTATAATGGTGGAAATGAAGTTGGTCACCACGGCTACTGAAGCCCCTGCTCCTGATCTTCTGCAGTGAAGTGGTTTAATAATTAGTATTCTGGTCCAGACCCTTACAACCTTTCATGAGGAATATGCTGCCGCTAATGGCTGACTTCACAATATCTGCATGAGTGATGACATTTCAGACATGTTCACCACAGAGACTGCTGATTTACATTGGAAATTGGCTATCAGAGATGCGTCAGGGTCAAAGTACAAGAGTTGAGGCAGAGGTAAGTGTGTGTGTGTTCTCGGGTTTTTGTGTGTGGAGCTGTCCTTCACCAAACTATCTATTCTCTCACTGAACCTTTGACCATTGAGAAGGTCACAACAGTCCTTAACCCACCAAAACTCGCATCCACGGTTAAGTTCATTCATATGTAATTATGCTTCATTTGCTGTGTGCACATTCATGTCTGTCTGCACTGTGAAACACTGGAGTTAACATTCCCCTCTGTTATTTTCCCACCTTAACTTCTTGCCCTCCTCCAATAGCTTTGCATCTCTCTTTTCTACAGTCTTCTTTTATAAACGTAGAAAACAAACACATTTACCCTTACAGTTTTCTTGTACAAAACTATAAGCATCTTATCTTAAGTTTACCCTCCAACCCTTTGACAAAACAAATACAAATTCCATTAAAAGTTTGTCTGCTGTGTGAATGAGTGTGTATGCTTCAGACATTTAACAAGTATCAAAGCACAGAAAACAGATTCCAGATGAATTTATTTCCCTGTGCTGAAGTGACTTGAATATACTGTTGACTTTGTGATTTGTTAATTCTGCCTTTCTTTTTCAAAATGTGGTGCAATGGGAGCTTTTGTGCTCAGTGCAGCTGAGTTTTTCTTGAGAATTGCTTTAATCTCAGGTCTATTGTTGCATTGATGATTCAACATTTTGAAAATGAACTGCGCAACTACACACCGACGCATGGTGAAAAGGCCCTGACACCAAGCAAAACTAGTGGCGATGAAGGCCGCCTGTGGCATCGCCTCACATCTCAGCCAAAAAGTTTTACTAGAACACACCGCAAAGCCTACAGCTGACGACCAACCACCACGTACATTCTGTGCATGCATGAGGGGCGGCGGTAGCTTGTTGTTTTGATACGAGAAGACCGTTTTCTCACCGCTCTCGCGCACCTCTCGTATTAGAGGTAGCCTACTAATCAAGAATAATGTCTGATAGAAAGTCGAAAGTTGAAAAGAAAACCTCCGAAAAGCCAATCAGAGAGATCCCTCTCACTGATCGCGGACGCCGATTCTACATGTCGAATCGGCCAAAAAAAAGCCAAAGGGTTCTGACGGGTAGCGACGGAGCCGGACACGCCTCAAAAACTAGGGCGATGACCGCTCACGGTCATCCAACTAGGGCTGATGGACGACAATCTCCCTGGTGTGTCAGGGCCTTAAGAGCATGT